GTGAGGGGTGGATAAGTAATACTGAGATTTCACATGGCCTGGCATATTTACCATGGCCCTCATTAATGCCAAAGCCTCGCCAAACATGCAGCATTTAGTACAGTAATTCTTCCTCAGCTCAAATCCAGTTAAAACTAGAAAAATAAGCCCAATATGGGGCTGATTGAGGGTTATTTTGAGGAGGATGGAAATATATTTAAAAAAAAAAAACGTTTGTGGACAAAACATCTACAGTGAAAGAGACCCAAAGAATGCATCTCACGTGTGCTTTGGGTCACCGGGGTCGCGAGAATCCTGATTTTACAACAGGGAAGTTGGCCTAATTTGGGAAGACTATCGCAAACACATCGCTGGAATTCCTGTTCGGGGGACTCTGGGCCGCTCACGGCCTGCCGCTCGAGGGGACAAATTCAGGCCACCATACTCCAAATTCCAACGACTTGAAATAAAGCAGATAGATAGATGTCGTTTCTAATTTAACTCTGTACAAATTAGGCCCGCGATTATTTTGTGGGATTCTTTAGGCGAACTTGGGACCTTGGGTGCAAAGGCCAGAAAGCGAGTGGAGTCCATGAGACTGAGACTGAGACGCTGACTGATTTGTCCCCATATTGGACAGGAAAGCCCCTGGTTTTCCAGAGAAGCAGGATACAGAGACCGACAATGGTGACAAAGGTGCAGTGAGCCAGCATGAATGTCACCTAATGTACGAAATGAAACACAATCCACTGTGACCCTTGTTGGGCCTGGTGGTTATTACATTAGCAAAGCTTTGTGTCATATTACAGAATCACTTACAAAAAATAATATGCAACCGTCACCTAAAGCTCCTTTAAGGGCCGTGGTAGTCAGGGATGGGTGCTTGTTATCGGAAGGTTGCTAATTCGAATCTCCAACCACCAAAGTACCACTGACGTACCTGAGCAAGGTACCACCCCCGAGCACTGCTCCCTGGGCGCTGAATAAGCTGCCCACTGCTATGTCACATACGGGTTAAATGCAGAGGCCACATTTTGCTGTGGTGTATCAACAATCAATCAGTTTCACCTCACTATAGCCAAACAGGTCTTAGACCACCGAGACCAGGCAGAGGTGGAAAGTTCAGGTCCAGAAAGCACAAATCCAGACCAAGATTTTGTCTCAACCAGCTAGTACTCGGCGACTGCAACTCTTTATGTTCAACTGGTTGGTTGAACCAAATCTTGGTCCGGATTTTTTTACTTACTGGACCTGGAACTTTGCAAATCTGCAGGCAGACACCTTAGCAACATACGCTGAGTAAGGATTAATGGTGGCAATCTGTGAGGCCACAAAAGGCGATGAGTAATATGAGCGATACACTGTGGTGGAGAGCAGACCATCCTTCTTGGATTGGGAAATCGTGATGCTGACATGAAGGTACTTAAGAAGGATTGAGTTCAACGGAAATGAAGATGGGGATGAGCACTGCAGCTGCACTTAAGGTGAAAATGAAAATGAAGACAGGCCAGATTGTGTATAAATATTATTTCAGCTGCCTCTAAAAAGCCAGATTCACACTGGCGCACAACCGCAAATGTGTCAGGAAGCCGCTTAAGTGGCATCTGGAGGCTGGTCGGGCGACACGTTATAAATCCCGTAACACTTGGTTAGTAAACATCTTGCAAAACACAAAAGACCACAGCTGTCCGGGAGAGCTGCAAAAAATAAACATTTTGTTCTACATAAATTGTGATACCAAGCAAGAATCCGTAATTTAAAAAAAACACAGCAGGAAGATTAATTTTTTTAAAAAGCATAACAAAGCACAGTATCCATCTCCAACTTCCATCTATGCAGTAATTTGATATAACATTACACCATCCTTTACATTAAACTCGGTATGTATGTTGGGTGCGTGTGTATGTGTTTTGGCACACAGACACATTGATTACTCAGATGTACTGACTTATAGTATGCACATCATCAAAGTGGTACAGAGTTATAACAACCCTACTGTTCCCTACAATATACTTAAGAGATCCGTATACCTCCTTTACGTGATAGTCAACCAGCAAAGCAGGGATGTTTGATGCAAAGCCAAAATCACCGTACAGAGTCCGGGACCCCCTGCAGGCTGCCCCGGCCACCTTACCTCCCCAGCCGTCGCAGAAGAGGCTGCCTTCCCGGCGCTCCGCGGCTCGTCCGGCGGCGGGGGCTCCGCAGGCTGCCGAGCCCTTCGTCCCGACTTCGCAGCCTGCAGTGCAGTAACAGTCAGGGCAGTGAAGCTGACATTTTTCAGTTTTATTTTGGATCTGCTTGTCACATTTACGTACCGGGGCAAAGAAGTTAGTAAAAGGTGTTCAATTTGAATCGATCGAGATTTAAATCGCGGGCGTTAATTTAATCCGTGGCGTTTAAACGGTAAGATTTACAGCGATGCTTTGGTGAATGATCTATAAGCTTACTTTCCTTTTGCATCCAACCGCCCGCTAATTTGCTAATCGCCTGACTAGCGAATGGCCAAATCTATGTTAATAGCGAAACTTCCTAACCCCAGAAACAGGAAAATGAATGCGTATAGTCCTTGACAGACTAAAGGGTTTGAATGCATCATAATCGGGGGTACATTTAGGCGCAGTCTTCCTTCGTTTTTCAATTAACATTAGCTAAAATGCTAACCATGCAGTGTCAAAGGGGAAAAACTAGGATGAGAACTGAAGAAAATCTAATGGTGATCGTCTTTACTTCTGTGTCGTACGATAACCTACATCATGTTTGCATTTATTAAAAGATGCCCCCCCCAACTCACAGTTTTTTTCACAGAGTTGTCTCCAAGCTGCACACCATCGTCCATTTTTGCTCCCGTGTTTATGCTTAGGGAATCTACTTCCTGGAGATCGTTGTCGGCGTCATACGGCAACCGTTCCCATGGTGACCGGCCAGGTACTTGACGCGCTGCTGGTTTCCATGGTGTTTGGAAGCGGAAACTACTTGGTCAATTGATGTTGATGTAAAGCATCTTCGCGATTACAGATTAATAGTTCCCCTTCATCTCTTTGCTGCTTATGGGTTTACTGTGCTTTTTACGATTGTTTATTCAATTTGCATTTTGGATCAGTAACATTTGTGGAGTATACTGGCTTAGTTCTCATAAACGCTTAAAAAATTGCTTACGTATGAGGTTACAGGAATGTCATTTGTCATTAAACGAGAATGACAAATACGAAAAATGTTGTCATCAGTAATAGAAGTAGACTACAATTACAGCAACTAATTTATAATGCGGAATTTCTAACAAATCAATTAGAAAACTCTACACAATACGGCATTGCAATAATGTTTAGCATGTTGTGGAATCACATAGCCAAGCACAGATATAATAGTGAGGTCATTTGTGGTTATGGCATCCATTAGGAACGTAAAGTTTATTTTTGTTAGTCAATGGATAGTTGGTTGGGTGCCAGCAATTCAAGGTCTTGTATTGTTTACTAGGACATCGGGACTATGAATGTTGATTTTAGCTCCTTCGTCTCTGCCTTATATAGCAATGTTCAACGCGAAACTTCCCAACACAAGTAACGAATGGCGAGTTACTTCATGCAGGGGTCATATATGCATTCCTTTGTGGTCTAGGTGGAGGCCAGATACATCAAACCACTCGCCTTTTCTGGAATCTATTATTGGCTAGGAGGTACTGAAGATAACGCTACGCAGGCGTGGCATTATCTGCATTAAAACGACATTTATCAAATTCTATTTGAATGAATGAGCAATTGTGAATGGGAACAAATATTTTGCTGCAAGTGCCCTGTTGACCAAGTCATTTAACGATGGAAATGATTTCATCCTGCTGATGTATGGGCACTGCTGTCTGGGAAATGGGGGAGAGTGACAACAACCAGAGGAATAACGGAATGTGAGGTTGTGGGACTGGGAAGGGGGTGATACATGACCACCGCTTTGCAAAAGAAAGAGTCGCCACTTGATATGGGAGACAAAGCAGCACAAAATCCAACTGGGTAAAATGAGAGAATAAAAAACTGTTTTATTTTAAAATGGCCAATTTTAAGGAAAATGTAATGTTTACATAGGCTATACGTTTAACCACATGTAACTACAGTGAATAGTTTGTATAAAGGATACTGTGACAGACAACCATTCGTCAAAACTGTACAATACAAAATGTTCCAGAAAGGTGTCTTCCTCCATTTTACTCATAGGGGTTTAAAAATGAATAATAAATGCAATTTTTTTGGATATTGACTGGAGTGATAGTTGCCAAACATTTACCTTAAAAGGCAAATTACATTTCTGTAATTTCAAATTACATAGCGTTTTGTCCGATGCTTTCTGACCATATATAAAATATACTTCAATCCAAAATAGCTCCGGGATATTACGTAGGTAAACACAAAAATTACACCAAGGAGAAGAAAACGATAAAAAAAAAAGAAAAACGGAAAAGAGGGACCTGTCCATTTATTAAGTTCTGGTTTATTTCAAGTTAAAAAGATGAAATTGCCGTATAATTCCACCAGAGGGAGCTGACAAACCGAATGTTTTTTAGACTTTAACGACTTTCAGTGAAGAAGCTAAATTAAAATGAAATATGAATTTTAATTCGTTTTCAATTCTTGCCTTACGCATTGTGTTTTATTGCGGAATGTATGGAGTAACTTCTAGTGGCTTCTCATAACCAGATATATCATAACATTATTAAAAGTCTATGTAGGCTAAGTAAGTCACTTTAAACGAAATCACTTTATAAGCAATACTAAAGTGCTGAAGGATGACTTGCTATGGGTCCTGAAAACGGCATATCAACAGTCTAGTGAATAACCGAAACATCGTTTTGTAAATCCAATCAAGACGACAAGCCCATAAAAGTAGCTCGTGGACATATAGTTTGCACTAGATTGTCGAATGCAATTAAAGCCATCGTAATTTACAGGAGGGACCGGCGACACTCGAAGATGCGATAACCTGCAGTCCCCTCCCCCGCAACGTCACGGAGAAAAGTCGGTATAAATGATCCTCTGAAAGGGAAAAAGTGCGAGACTCGTTGCGATCGCGGAGGGAGAGGCGAGAGAGACAGAGGGGACCGAGTCTGAGATCCCGCATCAGCAGCGGCTAGTGAAAAAGGGAAGAAAAGTCGCGATCGAGACGCAATGCTGTACCTTGGTAGACCTGACGACTTCTGATCGTGCGAGCTGCAGAAAAGAGATGCTAATGGTGTTCCCGATCGATGAGAAGTACGAAAAGTCACCGGGGAAAGCTTAATGAAGCTTCGTCTGCAATAAAGCTACGCTTTAAAATATGATTTGGAATATTTTTGGGAATATTCGCCCGGATTCCGCTGAGCGACTGCCCACTGTAAATCATCACTGGCAAAAATGGGATCTCCTTGGGAGAAGTATTCATTGAGTAGCTAAATGCGAAAGAGAAGGAAAAGAAGATTACGTAAATCACTAATAAACGTTAATCAAACAGTTTAATAATATTACATATCCATTTCGTCAACGCACGGTTTGCTGATATTGGGAGTCACTTAGACTAGATGGGAATAAGTTATTTAATTTGTTTACTTTAACGAACGACTTAACAATGTATTTGAGTAAAGCACTTTTGTTTTTCCTGTTTTTGAACTTCGTGACAATGAGTCTGTCGCTTTCCACTTGCACCACTGTGGACATCGACCACATAAAGAAAAAGAGAGTCGAGGCTATCCGGGGACAGATTCTGAGCAAGCTCCGATTAACCAGCCCGCCGCAAACACTGGGTCCGAACCAGGTCCCTTTCAACGTACTGGCGCTGTATAACAGCACCAAAGAGCTGCTCGAAGAGTTGGGGAGGGACCGGCAGCAGAGCTGCGGCCAGGATAACACGGAGACCGAATACTATGCCAAAGAGATACACAAATTCAACATGATTCAGGGAACTTCAGAAAACAGTAAGTATTTTTGTTGTTTACAACTGTTCCATAAATACTGTGAATAATTTTATTTGTTAGTGTCACCGTGTTTATTCTCATAGCGTTTTGAGTGTCATTGGTTATTTTTTAACCTTTTTGTTGCGCACAAAGCGCAGCTCCAGTCATTCCCTAGCGGCAGGTCTTTCTGCGTAATTGTCGGCGCTCGGTGTTGACATTATTCCCTCTCTGGAGGCTCGGTGTGGAAACTAATGAATGAGGATGCCCTGCGAGTAAACAGGGTCTGATTACGAGGAGGATGAAACTTTCAGCCCTCTTTCCCCACTTTAAGCCGTTTGCAAAACACCCACGCTAAAGGAAAATATAGAAAGGGACACGGGATTCGTACTGGTGAAATGGTCTACCTCATGTCATACGAGACTAAACGTTTCTGCAATATGAGAATAGAGAAAAAGAAAATTGTGGTTCTGTAGAATCCCAGTATAATGCCACGGTCCAGTCATAAAACAGTTTTACTCCTAAAATGGTTTTCCGTCCGTCCTTTATTTCTGGTAATGTGGATTAGGTTTACTTTTTGCCTGTTAAATAAATCACTGGCTTGTTGATTTCCCCTTGTTATATAAGAATACGGTTGCCAATGCTCTGACTGTCATCCCAATTTTTTTTTTTTTTGCATGTGCAGTGTAGCTTAGTCCAAAATACACTGGCAATAGCATATCCGAAAGAGGAGACTACTTTTGTGCCACTCTGCAAGCCCAAAGAGACGCATATTATAGATGACGATGTATGAAGGCAAAAAAAAAAGCCGTCAGTGACCCGGTCCGCCCGCTTCAGACTGCGTGCGTTAGGTGGGGAAACCACCTGATTTCCCACGGATCGCCATCCCAGTGCAATCAGGCTTATAATAAACTACGGTTGGATCCGCTGGATGGAGATGCTGTAAAAGGGGAGAGGAAATGTTAACAAATTAGACTAATGGAAGGAGTTCCTCCTGGCTTGGCAGGGGGACAGCGTTCCCTCCATCCCCGTGTGTTGGCCAGGAGTCGGGCCCCGGAGGAGCGCGGAATCGGTGCTACACGCGTCTCGGCCCAGTGGAAACACCGAGGAGCCGGGAGCAAAAGCAAACACATTAATTGCAGTGAGAGCCGCATGACATCACCCTGCGGACACAGAGCTGCAGGTCCACTACCGGTCAAGACGGGCCATTGCATCGGAACCGTTTTATTGGACTCCCCCGCCGCTGTCCGTGATCTGAGCTTAGCGTGTCACTTTTTCCTTTTCAGCTTAATTTGCTCCAAAGCAGTCATTACAATGCCACTCGTTTTACTGCACTCGGCAACCCGGTGTTTATTCGTCTTGCGTTTCATTGCCGTCATTTAAATTTCACTCGCTGTTTTACTGCTGTGCCTGAACCACAGAAACGGGGCATAAGCAGCAAATAGGTTGCATTCCTCTCTCCATTATCCTTTCTTTAGCGACGCCAATCCGCTAAGATTAAGGACGTCTCAACAGCCACTGGGGAGGTGCTGCGTTGAGCCAAAGGTATCAAAACTTTGCCAAGGAAAGGGGGGGAGGGGTCTTTCCTGAATGCCTTGAAGTTTTGCAAAGGAATTTTCAGTTTGTGAAAGGCGTCTCGTAGGACACTAGTTTGTTGAATTGGTTGCAGACCTGTTGCGTATAACGCAGGAGCCTGAGCCATTGCGTCATATCGCTGCTTTGAAACGGACAGGTGTTTCACGCTAAAAGGACACAGAGCAGAGCGCCCCCTGGCTCCCGGGACAGTCGTCCCCTCCAGATCAGTTTCAGTTTGCCAGGACTACTACAGACACTCAAAATTACAGTTTAATAGCCAACCTGCGATGCAGCCCCAGTTCAAAATCTAACTACTTTCTGTAGACGTGCAGAGGATACGGCTTCCTTGCTAATCCATACAAGAAATCACACGACTGACAGCCCTACCAAGACCACATTCCAAGACCATATTTTAAGAGTCAAAGGAAAAGATGATAGGTCATGAAATATGTAAAGTATGCCCCAACAAGGCTAAAAAAAAACCCTGATCTTTTCTCCTGGATGGGCACCCCACTCTGTCTCATGCTTTATGTAATTTCACACGCGATCGGGCATGTTTTAGTATTATGGAGCCCTGCGCCATGTCCTCACTGCCTGCTCACCTTCATTCCATCCACATAGCCTAATGCCTTTAACACACATTGCTCTTGGATGCTGGGAGCAAATTGAATTATTTTCAGGTCTGTGCTGAATGGGTCGTCTTTCCTTCATGCGGTTTACAGTTCCCTGGCAGCATCAGTAGAGTTAGAAAAAAAATTACATATAATAATAAAATAAAAGCCATTCTCCCGAATCTTAAAAAGTACTAGGAAGCTCCAACAGGTTTTTCTATTTAGTTATAAAAAAATCACATTGTAAAACCTGCTTGAAATCTCAAAGGCTTTTCTGTGTGCTGAAATTCTCAGGTCCTTTTCTGGAGAAGCAGCTGCAGATCTGAGCGGCCGAGAGAGAGAGGGAGGGAGGGAGAGAGAGAGATGGAGGGAGGGAGAGAGAGAGAGAGATGGAGGGAGGGAGGGAGAGAGAGAGAGAGAGATGGAGGGCCATCAGCTTTCAAATTACTAAAGGACAGGCCATTGGAAGCATGGCTGCCCCCCCAGAACCTTAGTTCAGATGTGAACAAAAAAAGGTGGAAAATAATCTTGTGGGGAAAAAAAAGCGCTTTCGTATTTTCTATTTTACATAATTAGATTTTTAGGAGAGTGACCTAACTTCATGTTAGAAATATTTGGCGGCTTTTCTGAAACCTGAGCCGCGGGCCGTTGCTGCACTGAGGCTCCCACGCAGCCGGTCCCGAGGTCAGGGTACGGCCGAGGTGCGTATCGGTCGCGACCCCCGCGTGCGGGCTGGGGGGGGGGGGAGCGTTTGTGAGATGTTAGGCCCCCTCACTTCAGGCCTTCTCTGTGAAGTTTAGTGCTGTTTTTTCCCCCGGAACGTTTTGGCTGATTGTCACCTTGCGTACTGGTGTGTTTTATTACCACGACAAGCCTCGCTCGCTGCAGACGATGCTCTGGGTTTCCTGTCCAACATTAACATTTCACATAGTATTCTGGAAGACCAGCGCCGCTCAGGCTGCCTGGTGACGGGCTCACCAATCAGAATCAGCACCAATACCGCCCCTCCCACCTAATCACAAGCCACTTCGGTGGCAGAGATGCTGAATGTGGTTGGCGGGGGGGGCAGCTCCTTTCGTTAGTCACCGCTGCTAGTGGAGTCCGATCGGGACAGGAAGTGATGCGGCAGTAGGGGCAGTAGGGGCAGTAGGGGCAGTAGGCGAAGCTCATGGAGGACACTGATAGCCAGGAGTTCCAACCGCCACATGGAGGCCTCACCTCCACTGATGCGTGTGCATGAAGCAGACCAAACCAAAAAGACAGGGATGTTGGGGATGTTACATAGTAATCGGTGACACCCTGTAGGGGGAGCCATATAGACTGAAGTACATAGATATTTGTCATATATGGAAGAATAGAAAGGTGATGTCATGCTAAAGCGGGGGCTGACATTCCAGCCCCATCCCCTATTATGTTTCCCCTTTTCTTCATCTTTGATGAGGTGGAAAAAAAACATACTACCCCCCCCCCCCAGATAACTGCAGATTATCTCATCCCAAACAGTCATGGACTCCCAGTCTGCTGGTTTTATTCAGACGACTGGAGACGCTCGTGGGTGGGGGGGGGGGGGGACTCATCAGGCTTTGATCTGCATTGTATCCAGTCACCGCATGGGACCAAACAGACTACTGTAATCCATCACCACAGGACTGCATTTTAGTATTTAAACCCCCAGCCCGGCCCGTTCGCCGTCATGGAGTCTGACGCCAGCGGATCAGTGCAGGCCGCTCAGCCAGCAGCTACGGCCAACCCGACCGACCGCACGCTGCAGACTGCATTTCTCTATGTTTAAGTTGGATGGGAGCTTGAAATTTACAGCTGTTAATTGGCCAGATAAGGGGCTGAACACATGATTATCCTGAACGTCTTTAGTAAAGTATCAGGCAAGCAACTGAGTAATAAATCAGAAACAAACAGCGATAGCCATATGGCATAAAACCCACACGGACACATTTACTCATCAGTTGTAGGAAATATATACAAGCAACGGTGTGCAACCAAAAACTATCCCTGGGTTTGCTGTTAAAATCACTCTCTGGGCTGTTAATTTCAAATGCTCATCAGAATACCCTGTTTCCACTGTCACTCCTGATACTGATTGTGTCTCAGTAAATCAGCCCCAGTCCTTTCACTGGTCTTCCAGCACCTGCTCTCCACATTTCCCCATTTTCCTCAGTTTACTTCCATAGTCTTGGAGAGACTGACATCATAGTTAATCTGCAAAAGTTTTTTCTTTTTTTAATTTTTTTTGTTTTGGGGGGG